GGGTTGGCAGCAGGACTAGGGGGCAGTAGCCAACAAGGTGCTTCTGCTGCTAGGTGTCCATTACCTACAGCCCATCTCTCTCTCTCTCTCTGCTCTCTCTCTCTCCTCTCCCCTCTCTTTCTCCTCTCTTGCTCCTCTCTCTCTCCCTTCCTCTCCCTGATTCTCTCTCTCACACACACATGTATATATGTACATCTAAGCCACTATACTTATAGGTATATACTTGCCTAGAGACAAAGACTTCCAATACATGCGATTTGACTGGTCCTTCAGGGTATTGCCTCCATTACAGGCAAAGCCACTCCCTCATCAACACACAATACACACACACACACACACACACACACACACACACACACACACTAGTGTAGTTACATGGCAGGTTCTGTTAGATATACACTTGCCTTAGAGCTGAAGCCTTCCAAACAGGGCCAGGTGTCAGCTTCTGTTAGGTCCACTCTTCCCTACAGCCAATATTCTTCTTACACAACTAGGTATCATGAACTCCTAGACATTCACTGCCATACAGTAAAGTCCCATGCACAAGGCTAGGCATCATATCCTGCTAGGAACCCCAGACATGGGCAAATACCCAAGCACAGCTCTCATATTCATATAAGGAAAGTGTCAGGCTCAGGTATTTGTCTCTAGCCTTACAACCAAAGTTCCACATACACAAACATGGTTAGGTTTTAGAATCTTCTAGGTATCTTCTTCCCCACAGCAAAACACCAGGTTAACAAACATACAAACATACAAATGCAATCATGCACACATGCACATATGCAAACAATCATGCATGCAGGCCTGTGGGAACCCTCCCCAGGGTGTGAGTCCCAGGAGTTTTTCCTCTAGCCACATGAATGGAGCTTTGGATTTAGGGGAAGGCTAGGACTTTGCACCTACCTGCAAGTCTGTGGCATTGTTGTAGAAGTGGAGATTCCTTGCAGGAATACAAGTAGCCATATATGTGTTTATGGCTTTGGCTGTAAGGGTGGGACGACAATGCTACCATTGACACCTAGCCCTGTGTGGAGAGCTTGGGCATAAAATAGAAGTCCATTAGGACTTGACTCGTGTATGTGTGTGTGTGTGTGTGTGTGTGTATGGGTTTGTGCTTTAGCAAGGTGAAGTAATACCTAGGTCTTGACATACCTACCATACAGCCAAAGACCTTCATACACATATATGGCTAACTATCTGTTCCTGCTGGATAAAACCTTCCTTACAGCCTAGCCAAACTGACACAAATCTCAGAACCTGCTAGGAATATCACCCAATATTGAAAAGACCCACCTATGACTAGGGTATCATGTCCTCCTCAGTATCACCTCCCCTAAAGGAAACCTTCAACTATATATTCATGGTGAGGTGTCACATCATGCTAGGTACCCTAATCTCTACAGCCAATGTTACAGGTACACAGCGATGGTGTTAAGTCATTCTGACTGCCCCTGCCATATAATCAAA